CATTGGTATCGCCACCATCAGATGTCCCGATAATCTATTTTTAGACAACCAATCACAACGCGCGCACATATTACACGGCACCTGATTGGTCCTTGTTGATCTACTTCAAGAGCGGACAAGAAAGGAAAATTATGTAGTCGATGGAGGCGAACGAAGTGAAGTTTTCATTTACGAGAATTTTACACCTTTTGCTGAACAACCATTTTTGAATTCGATAGAAAACATTCTTTACTATATAAGCAATGTAGCGAAGGAAGTTCAAGAGCAATATAGTCTGCAAAAACAAGAGAAAAGTTCAGACAAAGATGAAGAAAAATGCAAAACAGCGTGCGAAAAAAGTAGTCTAAAGTAGCTTTCTTACAGTCAATAGAGTCGGACTTAAAGAAAACCAAAGGTTAAGTAATTTGATAGACAACATACTTTACTATATGAGCAATGTAGCGAAGGAAGTTCAAGAGCAATATGGTCTGCGAAAACAAGGGAAAAGTTCAGACAAAAACGAAGAAAAATATGCAGACAAAAGGAGTGCGAAGAAATGTCTGCAAAAATGTGATTTTTGTGGCGAGAATTGTTCTCGTTTTAATAAGAAATCTGTTCTAATAGAATTAAAAAGCCCTTAGACTATACATAGAATTGTAGTAAAGTATTTTAGGATCTAAAAAGCTTTATAAAAAGGGGAAAACTAATACAAAACGATGCCCGAGTGCGAAAAATGTCACAAAAACTCAATCAAAAACTCTTTTAGCAAAATGATGATATTATATTGTGAACTCTTCATTGTGTAAGGAGTTGAAAAAATGATTGTTCTTTAAAAGAAAAAGCGAGGAATAAACAAACTAGCGAATAGGTACAGAGGGTATTAATAACGAAATCATGTCGAATTTTAAGTTAACAATAAACAAGATAAGAGTTATGAAAAGCCACAAACAAGAAAAGTCATCAAAGAAATATCGATAACTAACTTGAATTTCAAAACAAACCCCGCCTACCTGAAAATTTACAGCTTTTCCATCTCACGTTAAGAGTCGAAAATTACTTTACCTTTGGCTTTGTTTAAGTCCAGCTCTATTTGACTGTAAGGAAGCTACTTTAGACTACTTTTCTTAGCACGCTGTTTTACATTTTTCTTCGTCTTTGTCTGAACTTTTCCCTTGTTTTCGCAGACCATATTGCTCTTGAACTTCCTTCGCTACATTGCTCATATAGTAAAGAATGTTTTCTATCGAATTCAAAAATGGTTGTTCAGCAAAAGGTGTAAAATTCTCGTAAATGAAAACTTCACTTCGTTCGCCTCCATCATATCGACTACATAATTTTCCTTTCTTGTCCGCTCTTGAAGTAGATCAACAAGGACCAATCAGGTGCCGTGTAATATGTGCGCGCGTTGTGATTGGTTGTCTAAAAATAGATTATCGGGACATCTGATGGTGGCGATACCAATGGGGAGATGGACACTTCTGGTTATGTACTGAAAAATTTCAAAGTTATTTTTCGTTATGAAGTAAAAGCATGCACTAAAGTCAGGAGCTCATTAGTATGGGCTCCTGCAATGTTTTCACTTTTTTCCCATTTATTAAGATAATATACTACTACTGATATCTTGTTTTCTTTGTCGAACAGCGCTTCAAAATTCGCCATGTATCTCCGGCTTTCCCGCCAAATTCGAGATGGCGAAACATGATTGGTCCAAAATATAACCCAGGATTCTGCTCACGCAGTCTCGTCCAACACCGATTGGGTTTCGTTTGTACACAAAGAGCGTAATTTCTAAAACTGTTCGTTGTTGTCTATTTTTTACTGATATATCAGATATATACTAGCAAGTTTACTATTAAGACCATTTATTGCCTCGTATTGTTTGAAATAAGAGGAGATTACAAGCCGCTTCGTATCACTCGAAGAAACCTTTTGCTACTCTCTTCCAATCTCTTCCAAGATGGCTACTGACTGGGTAGAATACAAATGTAAGTCAGGACAGACTTTGTTTATTTACAACAAGGTGACAGGAGAACACAAGTGGCCTACTGATGTAAGTTATCTGAATATTAAAGCTGAACATATATACGTAGTCAAATCCATACGTACTGAACAGTATACACGCACGTGTGTGTGTAAAGTCAATTGTAAAGTAAGCTTAATGCTTTCGCTATTTGGAAATAGTAATAGGTCATTTAGTTTTTCTTGAAGGTATAATCATAAAATTGAAGCTGGAAATGTAAGAAAATATGGAAAATTCTGAAACTCAGAAATAATAGAGTTTAATTCGTTGATTTAACTAATAGCCCCAGGGTAGGCCCGTGGGTAAAATTTCCGATAACAAAAGCAAAATATTCCTCCATACCCTTGGGTCAAAAAATGCCTTACAATCACCCCCAGGGGGAAGCCGCTGATACCCTGTGAAGCTTAAATATATATTGAAGTTAGATACATGTAAGTTTAAGTTTTAATGTGAAGATGGAAATATTTAAAATAGAGTAAGTTGAATAAGCTGAACGTACTCAATTCCAAATGTACTGTACGGTCTTATTTACAGGTAAATCAACACAAGTTTCCCATGCACTTTATAGAGTATGTACATAGGCTACCCAACTATTGCTTGAGAGAAAGAAAAGAATGAATGCGCACGCTTATATTATCGTATCGCATTGGCGCGCGATGCGGGTTTCCTGTGGTATTACGTCATTGATCCCTTGCCT